ATCCTGAAATCGCCCTTGTTCACTCCCAGGGTCCCAAGGTACCCCCGCGGTCCCCTCCGTCCCTCCAGGCTCCTCATTACAGCTTCTTTCAATCTCTTCTCAAAAGCCTGAGGATCCTCCTGGCTCCAGCAGGCACAGAACTTCCAGCATCGGCAACGCAGAGGGAAGGCAGCAGCGCTTTTCCATTGCCCGGTCCAGTCCATAGATTCCATGGAGGCAACAGGTCGTTAACAGACATTGTAAGATCCCGGGTTTCCCCCGCCGTTCAGAAGAGACACAGCCTGACATGCAGCTTAGTTCACACAGAAGGGCACACCCCACGACCCGAATCCACCTCCGCAAGGCTGCTGATGCCTTTGCACAAAACTTCTCCTGCCTCAAAGGTGGTAACACAAACCTCCCAGCCCGAAGCACAGGAAAAACATGCACACGCGTCTTTTACTTTCCAACTTGACTACTTTTGTAAAGCTCCCAAAAAATCCATAACCCACATTTCCACTCCGTCACGGAGAGGACGAATCTCCCCACCGGGAACAGGGAACCGCTAGGTGTAAATATGACAACATGCGTTCATCCCCTGGGTACCCCCGCACTCAGACCGTGGGGCAAACACCCTTCTTCACTTTTAAATGAAGGTCTGGGAACCTCTGCCAAGCCCTTCATCAAGCGAAAGTAAGGGTTTCCTGGTTTTGAAAAATCACTGTAAATGTGCCTGTATTTCTCCCCACCCCTCCTTTTTTTTTAACCATTCTTTAGGTTTTCTTTTTCTTTTCTTTTTTATGATTTATGTTTTCCTTCCTAGAGGTTAGAGGGCTGCTTTTCTGTCCCAGAGTAGGTTTTCCTGGGGGAACAGTTATTGAAATAACAGTAGCACTAAAAGGAATCCCATGTGAGACACCGATGTGTGAACATCTCATTCCCACTAAAACAGTTCAAAATTAGATGGTATGCTGAAACAGGAGGCAGCTACAACGCTAGGTTTTTCAAAACCCTCGGACATGCCAACGGTTTATGCTAGATCGGATCTCCCATCAAGTTCTCCAGGGTTATGATTTTCAGAAGTGATAAAATAACTCAAGAGGTCTATTTTACACACTTTAAGGATATTTCCAGCTTCACTCACGGTCATTCTGAAACAGAAGAAAAGGCACAGAACTCAACTTCCTTTGCTCAGGCTTCTGACCATGCACCGAGTCAAGATAACTGAACCCCCTACTTTCATTGTTAAATTACGGTTTCTCATACGCAATCAGGGTCTTCCAGATGATGACATGCCACTGTCAAAATAGAAGAACTTAAAAGTAACTTTAAATCTAAAACTCAGGCCCAGCGCTCCGTTTTTAGATGCACCCTTTAATTACCTGGTGCTGTCGACATCTCACTTACACTTAAATTTAGCAAAGTAATTTTAGACCACTCGCCTTTAGATTACTTCACTACCTTCACTGGATCTGCAGCATTGCAAATGCAAAGCACCAAATCCTCTGTCTTTTAAATACTCAAATGTTTGAAAGCAGAAAAGGTGAAAAGTGAAGAGGGCAACATTTCCCCCTGGCTATTCTGAAAAACTGGAGTGGATGATAGCCCAACCACTGCAGACTTCTGTTGTTTTTAATCCACAGAATTAACTGCCTTGAATCTATAAATGTGAGAAGATGTATATTGACCATGCACAACATCCAGCCAATGAACTGCTCCTGAGCCAAGTGAGGGCACAAACAGGAGCAAAGAGGATGCCCTCATGACGTCAACAACACAGGGCGTCTGGGAGACCTCGTGGGTAAGTGTCACCAGCTAGTTCAGGGACTTCTGAAGTCCCCCCAGCGACTTTAACAGACACTGCTACCAAATCGAACATCCACTGGTCCCACCAGGTATCAAACCTGCCGCAACCATGTCCAAAATACTTGAATCCCTCTTATATCCCAAAATACTTGAACCTTGGCAACTCCAAAGGTTTGAAGAGTTTCAAATTCAAGGTGCAGGCAGATGATAAAAGAAAAGTTGTATTTTGAAGGATGATATATCCTGGGAATGCCCACGTGTCCTTACCCTTTGGGGAAAGAAAATGGAATTCTCCTCCTCGCCTGGAAAAGCTTGGCCCTGAGATGCAAAGGGTGACCAAACCAGGAGGTGGAAAAAGACCTGCGTTTAGAGAGACCAGCCCCCAGCTGAAACACAGACCTGCCTCTCAGCGCCACAAGGCCAGGACTCTGCTCATAATGACTGCCTTCTGATCTCAGTTACAGGGACCACATCTCAAGTCCAGGCCCCAGCAGGCTCCTTGGCGGGGGGGGGGGGGGGGGGGTCTCTCTGTTGACACCTCCTGAACCGAGCTCTATGAAAGAGCAGGCGGCACCAACATTTATTCAACGTGACACTGTCTTCCCACCCTCCATATCATATGACTGACGCTGACCTGCTCCGGTTTTTCACTGGGGAATAGGAAAAGATCTTTGGAACATGAGTTCCTCTGTCTTGTGAAGAAATGAACCCCCCTTTTATTTATTTTTGTTGTTGTTTAAGGACAGATAACAAGGAAAAACTAGACCTGATATTAATGTTAGAAAAAACGTTGAAAGTCTCCTATTACCTACTTATAAAATGATATATTCCATACATGCACAATGCATAAAATTTTAGAATAGTACGTAAGTTCAAAATCAAGGTTGACATCTTTCAAACAGGCTTTACTTCTTATTTATATATCTGGCACCCTACTGGGGTCTCAGCCTCTACCACAAATAAAAGAGCTGATCTTATGAGATTAGAAACACAAAAAGATTTTTAATATCCAAACAAAACCTAAGAAGTGGCCGGGGGCAAAGCTTATAAACACGTGTACATGCAGCCCCGTTACATAATCAAATGGCAACCAAGAATTTTCAAAAATTTACCTAAAAAAGACACTTCAGACTAAACCACCAAGAACTCATCATGAGAGAACAGATACATGGAAAACAAAATATCACAACGTTATCCCACATTTTTAACAGGAAAATAAAGCAACTATACAGTGACAGAAGAGAAACCAAAATTTTAAGTGTAACTGGAATTATATATCCTTAAACAAATAACTCAAAGAGATGTAATACCCATTTGCTAATTTAGTGTACTATCCAAGTTATTGATTCAAATGGAAACTTGGGTTACCAGATCACAAGAGGATCTGTGATGTGTCTAGCACTCACAAAGCCTTTCTTCAGAATTAGAAAACTTCGCAGTAGTAGCCACAAGTTTGCACAGCTCATCCTGTTTCCCCTAGAATCGCCATTTCAATAGCATGATTAGCTCATTCATAATTTGACACACAGTGAATTAAATCATCTGGTTAGGGTTTTCACATAACTTCTATTGCCCACTCTTCCCACTGAGACAGCCAGTGCCAAGTGCTGCCAGCACTGCAAGGGTTAAGCCCAGGAATGTGACAGTTCTCCCGGTGATAACTGGTCAAGGGCTCTAAGCTATTTGCAGAGAACTGAAAATACTTAAAAAATAATCTCAATGGTAAATAAACTCTATGTGCCACGTACGTCACTAGGGGAAGACTAAAATTGTTTTTTAAGTCACAGTGAAAGTTTTCTGAACTACAGAAGCTCCAGAAACACGCACGGTGGGAAAGCTTGGCACTTAGGAATACGGAAGGATAACGAAATTACCATCATCCCAAGGAAGAACTGCATTACGTTCACAACAGCATTAAAACTGTTTATCCACTTTATGAGGCAGTGTAGTCTGCTGTTAACAATAGCATCTAAATCCTTTAAAATGTTAAAAAATAATTCTATGCGGTACCTTTTGTAAAATATCTAGATAATATATAACTGTGATACAAGGACGTCGTATTTCAGACAGAAACCAACAAGGCTAGCTGATAGATAAACCTATCATTTTTAAAGCATGCCAAGTGTCCCCAGTAAGCGGTAAAGGGGAGGCACATAAACGTAACAGCTGCAGGCCGAGGTGTCAAAAGGGGAGAAGCCCAAGATGCAGAGAAAAGAGAGAAAGCCGAGGTCCAGCAGAGCGCGGTGCGGGCGCCGTCGGAGGGCGATTCCACCCACGGAAGGACTGAGCGGGCAGCGACAGCCAAGCCCATACCTGGTCTCGACTCTCAGCCGAGCGTGGGCCTTCATTCAAGCCTTACTTCCATTCCAGACAACAAATCATTGCTCGCTAGGAGCCCAGTCTAAGCCCCCCGCGCTCGGCTTCCCCAGCCCTCGCGGGCAGTGGAGGTCTGCACCCCTCTCTATCCGTCCGGGGCGCCTCCCGGCGTCACACACCCCATCCGTCCCGGAGCCGTCGAAAGAGCCGGGTCACCCGGCCGCCACCGTCCCCGCAGCGGGAGCCGGGCAGGGCGCGCAGAGCGCGGGACTTACCGAGAGGCGAGCGCCGCCGTCGGGGGGGAGGGCGCGCTGCGCACGTGGGTGTCCGCGCGTGTCCGCGCCCGCGTGTGCCGGCGCGCGTGCCTGACTGGGGTCGCCGCCGAGCCGGGCGGCACTGAGTCCCTGCGCGCCGACGGGCTCAGCCCATGGTGTGGGCGCCGGCCTCCCGGAGGCCCTGGCTCCCGCCAATCGCCGAGCAGGGCTGCCTCCCCGACGCGCGGCTCCAGATCCGGGAGTGCGCGCCGGGGGCGGGGCGGGGCGCGCCGGGGCGCGCGGGGCGCGGGCGCGCGTGTCCAGGTGCGCCTGTGTGTGCGCGCGCGCGCCTGTCCAGAGGCACGTGGATGCTGCGCGCGCGCGTGTGTCCGGGGGCGCGTGGATGCTGCGCGCGCGCGTGTGTCCGGGGGCGCGCGTGGGTAGGCCAGCGCGCGTGTCCGGGGGGCGCGCCCTCGGGCCGGGGAGTGCGGCGGCGCGGGCAGGTCCGGACCCTGCCGGGCTTTGGGGACGCGGCGGGCGGCTCCGAGGAGGAAGAGGTGGAGGAGGGGGAGAAAGGGGTGGAGCGGAGCCTGGGACCGGAGAGCTGAAGTCCGGGCCGGAGCGGCGGCGGGAGGAGAACCCAGGATGCGCGTCCAGGAGCGGAGAGGAGCGAAAAACCGAGCACGGGCTGGGGCCGGTGAGGGCCGAGCGGTGGGGAGATGCCGCGGAAGCACTTCCTCCCCGAAACTTAGAAGTGATTTTCCCCCTGCCTCAGCCGTTACACACATTACAAATAATCAAAGTTCAAACCGGTTGTGTCGGAAGAAGGTGAAAATGACCGCTGGGGCTGCCTCGGATGCTGACGGGAACTGACATAAACGCCGCCCTCAAATTAAGAGACGGCGATGCCGGGCGCCACCGGCTTCGGTCGCACCTGGAGTGTGACCTGGTGCGCGTCCCGAGAGCCTGGGGAGCGGGTGGAGGGGCTCCGGAGGCGCGGGGCGCGGCCGCTGGGATGCCGAGCCGTCCGGGAGGCCGCCGGGCGGGCCGGACAGACGCAGGGACGGCAGCCCTCGGCAGCAGGGTGTCCCCAAGACGCCGCCTCCGAAAGGGGGAGCCGCGCGCGAGGTTTGGCTCCTCCGGTCCGGCGGCCCTGAAGCCCTCCAGATGTTACCGTTTTTAAGGGAATTCTGACTTCAAAACCGCGCTTACCTGGGTGCTTCCTCTCTTCACCATGTCCCGCGGGCACCGTCACGACTGTCCAGCGTGATCGCTAGGAACCCACCCCAGACCCTTCCCTTCCAGGCTCTCCCCTTCCAACCAAGTGAAAACTACTAGTGTCTCTCCCTCTCCAAAGTTTTTAACAGCCAAGAATTTCAGCAAACAGCCAGAAAGAAAGTTAAGTCGCGCCCCCCCCCCACCCCCGCCGCAACCCCAAGGGAAGGGAGCGAAATAAGCACTCCTTTAATTTGAAAAATAATAATTAAAACTCCCTCAACTTTTAAGGCCGGGCAACATAATCTATTAATTGGTCGCTATTAACATGCCGTTTTATTGACCATAGCACACAGAAGTCTGATTGTGAAGGAGGAGTGTTTTCAATGAAAGTGGAGTTATTTTAGCTGCAGACGTGTTTACATTTCTGTGGTTTAGTCTATAACTTTCTCTTTCTCTTGCTTCAGAATTCTGCTCCATGAAGCAAAGCCCTTAGCTCCCAGACATTCCAAAAAGTCTGCCAAAATAATAGGAAAAAAAAAAGAGAGAGAGAGGGAAGAAAAAACACACGGAGACCCCCAAGTCTGGGTCAGGCTCAGGGTTGTAAGTGGGCATCAAGAGTATACCCCCTCCCTACACACTTTCCAATTTTTAAAAAAGCCCTTTAGTGCTTTATTTCCTGTTTGCTGGGGGGGAAATAGGATGAGTCTAAGCAGCTGAGTTTAGAAACCGCCTTCTCTAGGACCTATAGATTCTGAGAGGTTCTTTAACCCTACCGATGCCAAAATGAGATCTTTGATACAAAAATCTGCCATTCTGCCCTCTCCGAAGAAGTGTTTCTCTTTTAAATGGACAAGCCTCACAAGCTACAAATGCATTCCTAGGAAATTTCTTAAACAAACAGGCACACCACTGCACATGGGACACAAGCCCACCTCTGCATAGGTGGGCAGAAGATACCAATAAAGAGGAAATATTGAAAACAGATTAAGTTTCTGAGAAGCATGCAGTCCTTTTCTCTCTGAGGTCCTGGTACAAAAAGCAGAATGTATACTGAAACATGCATTTTAGTAATAGGACCATATCAGTTTTTACAATCTGTGCTAGAATCGTCATTTGAAAAATTGACTCCTTTGAACTGCTCTGTCGGTAGTAGTTAACACAGAACAGTAGGAACACAGAAGTCTCAGTGCTGTTCACAAGATCTTAAAAAATAGCCAACCTGCCATCCCCCTTAATTGCATATTTTGGTTTCTTTTCTTTAGAGCTATTCTCCAAAGAAGCCCCGGATCCAGGTAACCTGACTGTATTTTGAAATCTTCCTCTTAGCCACTCACATCCAAAACACACCACAGGGAGCCTTTTATGATTTTGTTGTTTGGTGGCTAAGTCACGTCCATTTCTTCAAGACCCCATGGACTCTCCTCTGTCATGGGGTTTCCCAGCCAAGAATACTGGGATGGATTGCCATTTCCTTCTCCAAGGGGTCTTCCTGACCCAGGGTTTGAACCCCCATCTGCATTGCTGGTGGATCTTCACCGCTGACTCACCGGGGAAGCCACCTTTATGATTTAGAGGACTGCTTTAAAGTAAACCCTTTCTCCCCGCCTTCCCTGACCACTGGCATCAGGAGCCCATAGCAATGGCTCCGCTTCATAATACAACATTACCCTAGCAAGTTCCTTCAACATCATCACTAGGACAAAGTACTCTGATGATATAGAATGATACTGGAAGTAATAGACTGTTAGTATATTAGTAATATACTATGTTAGTATGCTAGTAATATGCTAACAGCAGAGCCTGCTTTATGAATAAAGAACTGTACTTTAATAGCCGAGCATGACTTCAACAATCCAGGTTACCACTGTTGAGAACAAAAAAAATGAGTTCAGAAAAAGCACAATATTTGAACCAATGTCATCTGTGGCTCCCTTTTGATACTTTTCTCCCCTTCCTCAAAATACACCCGACAGAGAGAGGCATCACAAGCATGCCCACCCCTCACACCTTTCTGGGTGGGGGGGGGAGAAGGGGGAGAGAATTGTTTTGTAAAAAACAATCTCGTGGCTGAGACCACTTTCAAAGCTGAGTCTATTAACGGCGAAAAATCTTAGAACCAAGAATCTCAGAGTTTTGCAAAGTTAGGACACCATCTCCTCCAACTGATTGTATCTTGCAGTTGCAGTTAGGAAATTTTTTCTCTCATATAATCTAATCTTCACCCTCTACCAGAGCATTCCCTTCACTCTGGTCCATAATCAAGGTCAAGGGCAATTTCCACCAGTTAAATTAATTAATTTGAGAGGCCAACACAAGTAATGAAGACGCATTCACTATCTATGCTATGGGACGGATAGGAAATACGATCATTTAAAGTTCATAAAATAAAAGTTAAAAGGAAAGATTTTATAAAAAACACCCCTTGACACATTCCTCAAGAATTAGCGTTTTTAAGTATTTCATACATGAGATGATCTTTCTGTATAAAGTTTTGTGGTCAACTTAATTCTTTCTGAAATCTCTTTTATCCGAAAGATGTTTCAGATTAATTTAAGTATTTGTTACTGGAGAACGTCAAGCTCTTGGTCAACGAAATGTCCTGCATTGCGTTGTCACACCTGTTAAATATAAGCCTCCTTTTCTTTTGATATTCGGAGAAGGGCCTTAAAAGGTTTACATCCTTCAATATGGAGATTTAATTGCTCTACCTATAATAAAAAGTAATCCCTATAAAATTCAGATTGTGGACATTTCAAAGCCAAAAGAACTATTGGATTGGGGTGTAAAGGTTGCAGTTCAAAAAGCCTTCCCCGTTCAAGATCACGTGCGTGGAGTTATGAGTTATAAACCCCTGGTTATCATTTTGTAGGTCTGGTTTTTGTAGTTCTTGCAGGGAGTGTCTTTGAGCTCACTTTATGGTTTAGCAGTTCTGCGCGTTAGATGTGGAAAGGGGAGGGTGCCCCTCCTCTGGAAAGGCTCACAGGGGAGGAAGTCTCAGATTTGGTTTTAAAGGAGGTCCTGAGGGAGGTTACTCTGCACTGACACTTCCCACAGCTTGGGTGAGCTCAGACCCAGCAGGAAGCCCCTCTGAAGGACAGCCTCCGTTTGGGAGAGGACACAGCACGCGTGCTCCAGCTCCCGGCCACCGCGTGGTGTTCATGCCCTGAGCCTCATGTTTCTCGGGCTGCCCTGAACCCCTCTCCCACAGCCTCCTCTGGATCAACCGGGACCTTCTGTTCATCCTGGGGGTGGGTCGGATGGGGCTCCACTCATTCCCTGGAGCCAGTCTGAGCCAGGGCAGGGAGGAGAACAGGGGTAAGAACTCTAGAGTTGGGGTTCTTCATGTAGCTTCCCCTGGCCCCTCTCCCCACCACGGTCCTCATCCCATTCCCAGACTCCCCTCGTTGATGGTAAGTGAACATGGAAGGACAGAGGTGGAGATTCTCTTGAGGGAGTCTTCAACCCTCCACAGAAGCACACCCAGCCTCATCACGATCTTTTATCATCAGCCGCTAAGCAGTCAGTTTCACGCGTCCTTGGCCCTTCCCGACGAACGAATCTCATGCAACAGGCTTACCCTCCGAAGCGCTTTTTCGATCGCTGTCAGATGCAGTTAGAGTCTGCAGTGAGCACAGCAGTTCTTAATCACACGTGGTGACCACAAACTGCTCCGTAAAATTGCATAATGCATAATTCCTATCAACTTGCATAATGCACACGATGACTTGATGCGAAACACATTGTACATCTGTCAGTGAGCACTGGTGACAAAGGTTATATGAAATGGATCGGGACACTGTATTTGCATTTCTTCAATGGAATTACATAGACTCATCAGGAGATCTGCCGCGGCTCTTCTGATGATTATACTGACCTGCTTGTGAGTTCACGTACCTGCCGTGACACTCATTCCATCAGTGAATGCTTTTTTCATGTACATTTTCATCAATGTGATAGACTCATGGGTGTGAAGATAGTTGTATGTTTAGAAAATGGACATAACTTCTTCTCAGGGATTTTTTTTTTTGAGGATCCAGGGAATCATTTATTTTTTGTTCACTTGTTTTTAAGCTTTTTATTTTGGATTAGGGTATAGCTGATTAACAGTGTTGTCCTAGTTTCAGGAGACCCGCAAAGGGACTCAGCCATACATATACATGCACCCTTCTTGTTGGGGTTGAGTTGCTAAGTTGTGTCTTACTCTTTGCGATGCTGTGGACTGTCGCCCGCCAGGATCCTCTGTCCATGAGATTTCCCAGGTAAGAATACTGGAGTGGGCTGCAGTTTCCTTCTCCAATACCTGTATCCCTTCTCCCCCAAGCTCCCCTCCCATCCAGCCCACCACATAACATTGAGCAGAGTTCCATGTGTCATACAGTATCTCGGTGATTTTTCTGTATATTGATAAAGACCAAAGGAGAAGAGGGCGACAGAGGATGAGATGGTTGGATGGCATCACCGATTCAATGGACATGGACTTGGGCAAACTCTGGGAGATAGCCAGGGACGGGGAAGCCTGGCGTGCTGCAGTCCATGGGGTCGCAAAGAATCGGACACGACTTAGTGACTGAACAATAACAAAAAAGACCTTGGCATAACAGTGCCTCAATGCAAATAAAATCATTATCTTAATGACTTTCCATTGTATTCCAGAATAGTAACTTATTATTTATGGTTATGGGTGACCTGATATAATTTAAATGGGTGTACAGTCTATTTCAGATAAAATGCATAGACAATTGATAACGAATGTGTGAGAACAGGAATCCAGCCTGTCAGCCTTATGACCTTGAGCAAGTCACGGTCTCTTGATTGAAGCCTCAAATTTTCTTATCTGTTAACGGAGGCTATTGGAGTGGATGATCCCAGATAGGCTAAACACAGGACCTCCGAGGGAAGAATCTAGGTTATTCATTATTATTTCCCTGCTTTTTAATAT